TTGCCGTTGCCGTTGCCGTTGAGCGTGCCGCCGTTCTGGTTACCATTGTTGTTCCCAGAGTACGAGGCGGAGTTGTCGTTGCCATTGATGTTTCCGTTGGAGTTGGGAATAGTCTTGGAGCTAGTCTGCTTCGAAGACGTGGATGATGTGGACGATGACTTCGACGAGGCAGTCGGCCACGAAGGGAATGAGGTGAAACCGCTGCTGCTTCTGGTGGTCCACCAGGAGCCCGCGTTGATGCCTCTTGCTGAGAGAGCGCGGAAGCTGTCATCCGACGAGATGGAGGGAAGCGCCGAGACCGAAGAGGCGGAGAGGGCCAGAATGGCCACGGTCATCTGCTTGGAAACTTTCATCGTTACTAAGGCCGCTAGGAGTGAGGGTGTATATGAGCTGGGAGGCGTAGAGAATACGGTGTTACGTGCTCCTGGTCGCTGCCATGGATAGGCAAGCGTACAGGTCTTCAGTAGAGTTCTGAGCGAGAAGGATGTGAAGAAGATGAGAAGGGGTGCCAAGGGTCTCGCTGCGATAGTCGAGGGGGTATTTGTATGCTCTGTACCCTCACGCTGTGACTGGAAGCGTACAGGGTGAGCTGCTGCACAGTGCTGGGACAGGCACCTGTCGGCACGAAAGCCGGTCGGAGCTTGGAGCGGAAGTGAGCTGACGACGTGAGCGGAGCTTGCACTTCAAGCAGAAAGCGTTTCTCCGGGTGCTGAATGACAGGGTAGGCAAAGGAAAGTGCTGCATTTGCATGGTCGAAAGGCCTAGTCATTTGTCTTGCGCTAACCTGGCACTTCCTTTTTTCATTTCAGCAAGCCTCGACGCGGAATGCTGCATGAACACACATGCATGGCAGCATCAACTCTGCGTATGGTACCAAAAGACGGGTATCCCAAGCACAATAAGAGGCTTTGTGCGGAAAGGAGGCGGGGAGGCAACGGGGAGGCAAAGGGAAGCTGCATTGCGACCATTTCGCCGAAGGTCGGGCTAGTACGCCCAGCACCTGACTCTTCGAGAACAAACAGCAAATCCGCTGGATAGGATCCGCGCTACTGGAGATGATCGTTGACACCGAGCGCAAGGGCGAAGTGACGAATTGATGTAACTTAGTGCCTCCACACTGCCCTTGTAGATGCGCAAGCGGGCAAGGCCATGCGGGGATGCGCAACGGGGAGGCTCCCGAGTGATTTTGCGGGGAGCTTCGTGCTTCCCGTTGCAGATCGATTCGAATACAAAATTAAGGCGTTTCCATTCGCGCCATTCGAATTTCGGCCTCTTCAATTCGACTCACGCTTGTAGCTCGGAATACAATTTTGGCAAGGCCACAGCTGTCAAGCAAGGCCAGCCGCAAAAACGCTCTTCCACACCACCACGCGCCAAGACTGGAAGGACCGGTTCGGGCTTCCTGGTCGTGGGCCAGCGCCGTCACCGAGCCGTCAACATTGTCCACCCTCGCTCGTCCCACGTCTGCTTACCGCTTCCCATGTTTCGAATCGTCCGCTTTCTTTCTTGATGCATCTTTGCATCGGCGGGTCGCATGCGTTGGACTGATTTTGCTACGTACCGCGCAGTAATTTAGACAGGAGCGTAGCATCAAGTGCAGTTGCCATGCCGGATCCCTGCATGCGCATGCGCATGAAAAGCTCCAGTGACAATGCATCGATGCATCGTCGGTTCACCGAGGT